GGGCTACATCGCAAGACTTTGTCTCAAAGGAAGGAAGGAAGGGAGGGAGGAAAGGAGGGAGGGAAGGAGGGAGGGAGGGAAGGAGGGAGGGAGGGAGGGAGGGAGGGAGAGAGGGAGGAAGGAAGAGAGGGAGGGAGAAAGGGAATAGAAAAGCCTATTAATTCTTTTTTGAGAAATTGAGTCACTTGGTTTCCTTATAATACCATCTAACCCATACACCCCACCACCCCCACCAACCCCTGAAAAACCCTCTACCCCACCCCTGTCAACATCTAACACAAAAGACAGGCCATAAGAGACAAACAGGCTGTCCTGAGTAACAACAGAACATTCATTAACAATATTTTTGAAGATTTTATTTTTATATTTATAAGTGTTTCACCTGAATGTATGTATGTGCATCATGTGAATGCCTGGTGCCCATGGAGGCCAGAAGAGGGTGTCAGGTCCCCTGGAACTGGAGCTAAAGACAGTGTGAACCATGTGGTTGCTTGGGAACCAAACCCAGATCCTCTGCAAGAGCAGCCAATACTCTTAACCACTGAACCGCCTCCCCAGTCTCTCATCATCAATATTTTAGACTTACTCTTTCCCCAAAACACTCTCCTACTGTGATGTTGAGAACATGAGCTGTGGATTCATCCAACCCAAAAAATAGATATCCCAGAATACAGGCACTCTGGCTTTTATATATAAAGCCTTGTACCTACACATTCTTGATTTTAGATACACCTATTAAGCTACCCTTGCCCACATTCACTCTGGCTTACACACGTTAAGCTAGCCCTGCACACATGCACTCTGGGCTACACACATGACCCCAAACCTCAGGACTACAACTTTCAGCAGCAACAAATGTATTTACCCATATGTATCCAGGAACCTGATCAACAATACATTGCACCTAAGAAATCTGAGGCCACCTATCCCACTGGCCCCTGAACTTTCTCTAATGTGCAGAGGGAGTATGGATCTCCTTAAATCCAGAGATGGAGTCAGCTCCCATGGAAAGAACCAAGAAGACATCAAAATCAATCTCCTCTATAAACTGCACCTGAGGGTACATGTCTGTGCTGGTTGGAGGCAATGTTATAAAACTAGGAATGTCACAGAGAAGAGAACATGAGTTTCTTCACCTCCCTTCCATAATGGGTCTGCCTCCCATTTTTCTTCATGTAGTATAGTTCAAATTGTTTTAGGTTCTACCATCCCTGAAAGAATGATATTTGCACCTGCAGCTTCTAGTTGTGCTTTAAAAACTACAGTCCAGTGTTTTTTTTTTTTTAAAAAAAAAAACTCTTAAGAGTTTCATGTTCCTTTCTTTTGTATTGAAAAAGGTGTTATATTTTTCCTTTACCTATAAAAGTAGGTAGAGTTAAGTTAGAATAAGTAGTGTTGATATCATTTAAGTAAATGCTTCCCCAAATGTTAAGGGCTTTGTCCCAAAGGTGATGCTACTGGGAGATGATAGGGCCGTGTTAGAGGTCTTCAGGGGCTTGAAGCCAGGTCTTTGAAGGGAATTGTGAAACCCGGCTGAGCAGTTTGTTCACACACTACACCACTGTCATCCACCGTGCCCATCAGAGGCCCAAGTCAACAGCTCCACTCAATCTGTGACTGAAACTTCTCAAAATATGAATCAAAATAAACCTTTCTCCTCAGTTAATGAGAAATTAGAGCCATCAAAACCACTTCTAGGGAAAATAGATTCCTAATTAAGAAAATTAAACCAAATTCTCAATCATTCCATTGGAACTTGTCATTATGTCATCAAACATGACCAGCAGTTCTCAATCTGTGGGTTGTGACCCCTTCGGCAAACTTCTATCTCCAAAACTATTTACATGACAATTCGTAACAGTAGCAAAATGACAGTTATGGAGTAGCAATGAGAATAATTTTAGGGTTGGAAGTCACCACGCCATGAGGAACTTAAAGGGTTGGAGCATTAGGAAGGTTGGGAGCCACTGTGTTATACTAACGTCTCCTCAGCTCAGTTGTTCCCATGGGTGGGTAGCAACCACAAAGTTAAGAGCCTGACCAAACCAAAGGCCAGCTCTGCCATTTTCCAACTTAGTAAATCTTGGGAAGTCCTCCATTCTCTCTACATTCACATTTCTCTGTAAGGTAAGAAAACCTCGAGTCCTGGCCTCAGAAGACTGACTCAAGTGACCAAATGATGATTATGGATATATATAACACACGGCCCATTATCCACCCCCAAGAGATGGCTACTGGTTATGGCAGCAGTAAAATGGTAACAGCAACAGATTGTTCCCCAATGTTTATTTCCTCTATGCTTACATTTCTCAGTTATTTGTTTGTTTGCCCCTTTTGGTTTCTTTGACATCTGTAACCGAAGCTGGCCTTGAACTTACTCCATGGCCAATGGCAACTTTTAACTCTTGAGCTTCCTGCCTCCACCTCCCACGTGCTAGGAATTGAGGCATTTGCCACCATGCCCGACCAGCCCCACTTTTATGACAAACCTAAAAACCTACAGATGCAGTTACTAACCCATGCCTATGTTTTATCTCTCTTAGAGGAAAAGATGACAGCCCCCTCCTTCCACTTCCTTCAGCTGTGTCAACTCTAGTCCGGAGAATTAAGGAGTCAATGTGTCATCTTCAGGAATCTCTTGCCCTGAATAGCAATTCTCAAAGCCAGGCACCAGATGCAGAAACCCTGGGTCCTGTGCCACTACACAGAAAAGATCACTAGACTTGCTTCATACTTTAGGGAATAAGAAATAAAAATCAGTGGCCAGGTGTGGTGGCATACACCTTTAATCCCAGAACTCAGGAATCAGGCAGGTGGATCTCTGAGTTCAAAGCCAGTCCGATGCATCTGGTCAACATGGTGAATTCTAGGCTAGCCAAGGATACAAAGCAAGATGCTGGAAAGAAAGGAAGAAAGGGAGCAGAGAGGGAGGACCTAGATGTTAAGCCACTGAGATTTGAGGTCTACTGTCACTCCAGAAGAGCCTACCATACCCTGGGCAAGAGGGATACATATGCCTGTAAATATACTTCTAAGAGGGAATAAAAGGATTTCCACTTTTTTAAAAAAAAAGATATGTTTTATTCTTTACCTTGGAATAGCACAGATCAGGAGTTTTTAAATGCTTTTTATAACAAACAAAAGAATGTCATTAAAATTTACCTCATTGTATTTATTTTACTTTGTCTCATCCATATATTTTTGTGACTACCAAAGAAGACACGTAACACAGTGAAACTGTGGCATACTGTAATTTACAGATAAATAAATTTACATGCATAAATGTGGATTGGCGCTGGAACAGAAATTCAGTGACAGAAGCAGAGGATGAAAGTCATCGAGAGCTGACAGAGCAAAGGCCACCCCTCAAGCTTTCTAGCACTGCTTTCATCATTGCTAAACTGCTCTTACTACTTAAAAAGAAATCTACAGAGAGGAGACAAACAAGACAGAGCAGAGAGAATGTTAAAGGAACAAGTTCATGAGGAGTTCATGAGGAGTTCACGAGCAGGCAAATCAGAACACAGCAGAAACAGTGGTGGGGAATGCTAATTTGATTTAAGGGTAAAGAGCTTTCAGTTCCAAATGAAAACAATCCCATTCTCCACATCTGAAAAGCGGCACGGACTCTGCCAGATAGAGATAAGGCGATGGCTCGTAACTCGAAGAAAGCCAATGAGAACAGATCTTTGTCATGACTGCAACCACAGGTGTTTAGCTCCAAAGCACTTATACTCAGAGAATCCGATGAGAGGGTCAGAGGCTGACCCCCACCAAAAGGTAGAGTGTAACACAGACTGACAGAAAGATTAGCTGTCCCAGAGTCATTTGTTCAGTCAGGCTGCGATTACCTCAGATTTCTAATAGAGAGGGAAATGTTTCCTGGGAGTTCATGAGCCAAATGGCACAGCAGCCTCTGCATCCCCTTAGCGCTCTCTCTCTCTCTCTCTCTCTCTCTCTCTCTCTCTCTCTCTCTCTCTTCTCCAGAAGAAACTGAGATTTAAGCATAGGTACATCTGACTTGAGAGCACTTGTGAAACAATACTGTGTAAGTCGGGCCTCAGATCATTGAGGACATGGAAAGTAGGCACTGGCTAGGCTGAGAGGGAAATGACCGTTGGGGAAGCTAACAGTGGGGAGGAAGAGGAGGAACGAACGTGGCAAGGGAAACCTCAGCTATATGCACAGAGAGCAAGGATGGAGCAGGTAGCTCAGATGTGGAAGGAGGTGGTACAAGACCAGACTGGCCCAGGGCTTCCAGTAGAAGGTGCTGTAGGCTCAGTCAAGGATGTATGTGTGCTGCCTTCTGGAGACAGTGAGGATTAAGAAGGGAACAGGGGGGCTGTAAGAAGGGGAACAGCCATATTCAGGAAGACTCTGAGAAGCTAATCTCACTAGGTTTTCTATAATATAGAAGATGGGTCAAAGATGAAGAAGGCACTTTGCACGCAGTAGATAAATACTGAATGGATAAAGACTAAGACTAAGGACCAAGTTACAATGAGCTAGGTTTCCCTTGCATGATCTGAAACCCGTTCATCTCCATCCTGATTCACACTGTTGAGTTTGCTACTTAAAGAACTACGTGCTCTAAGAAATAAAGCTGGTTCAACAGCAGGAAAAAATAAACAGACAATAAAAATTCACCACTCAAGTTTTAATGTGAAGTGTTTACTCTCGCAGAGTTTAGCATTTTCGTCTTCTATGCTGAGGGAGGAACATCTGAACTGCTGTTGCAAATGCTGAAAAAGAGAACAAAATTAACCACATACAAAAGTTGGCAATGAGGATGGCTCTCCTCCCCAAGTCTGCAACTAGGTGGAAAGGCTACCGGAACATGGAAACCAATCAATAAGGCATAGTACTTCCTGAGTTCTGCTGTGGCATCCAAGCAAAACATTAAGCTTTAACCTTCTTGGTGGTGCCAACCTCCTTGGTACATACAGTAAATCTGGAGCCACCTGCAAAGCCTGAGAACACTGGGACAGGTTAGAACCTACCTGGTTTTCTTCATGAGAAACCCTCATCTGCTCCTTAAGGACAGACATGCGAGCTGCCTCCTCTTTCCTCAAGACTCTCTCCTTCTTAAGCTCGGGACTCCAGAAAGTCTTGATGCTATTCATGGATGACCCCAGTTTGCTGTCCTTAATGTCAAGCTCCTTGCGTAGGAGGTCATTCTCTCTCTGCAGTTCTTTGAGCTGGGCTTGAAGATCCAACATTGTGCTGTCTCTTACCTGCCTCAACATGGAGGGCACCTGGTGGTGGTGGTGAGATGAGCCGCTCAGCCCTCCATGTTGATCTGTATATGAAAGGACATCCGTGTGGGAAAGTCCAGCAGAAGCAATATTGGGACTACTCCCCATGGCTGTGACCCGGCCTCCATACACAGCACGATTTGTGGCCCTGCCCAGAGTCATCGTGCCCTTTGGGTAAGTTGTTGATGCTACTCCTTCATGGTCACTTAAGTACATGGGTCCAGATGTAGCATAGGCCGCATTAAGGGACTGGATATTCTCCATAGACAGAGTCTTGCCTGTCCCTCCCCCTCCTCCACTGCTTGTTCTTCGGTGGCCCAAACGAGGAGACCTTGGCAAACGCGGTGATCTGGAAGGGCTGCCTTCCAGATTGCTGATTGTTCTTGCGCTCCCGTACATTTTTCTTCTGTGATGTGGTGCTACTGAAGAGAAGAAATGCTAGGCAAGGTGAGGACTTAAGCCAATGTTTCCTTCACTGACTAGAGTTTTCACCACATTCTTGGTATAGTCTGTACCAGGAAATGACTCCACTCAGAGATCTGTAAAATGATAAAAGGGATAATTAATTAAAAACAAACTTCCTTAGAATTCTAAGTATGATTGCTTCACATCTTAAATATATATTAATAGAAGTAGTAAAATGCCTTCCTAGAAAACACAAGGTCCCAGCATTGAAAACACCATCTAGATAGATAGATAGAATGAAAGGTATATAGAAATGAATAATGATAAGTGAATGCCAAAATGATAAATGATGGATGATAGACAGACAGATAGATAGACTATAGAGGATAAATAGATAGATGATAGGTGATAGACAGACAGGCAGACAGATGATAGATGATAGACAGATGATAGATAGATAGATAGATAGATAGATAAATAGATAGATAGATAGATAGACAGACATAGATGAAGTGGTATCCATATATTTGGAATAATACTAAAGTATTTATTACTACAAGTAAACATTTAAAATAAATCTTCCCACCCTGCCCCCAAAGTCAAAAGTTATCAAAGACAAAATAAAATTCTTTTTTCCTTAGGAAAATGAAGTTCTCCCTCTTGACATGTACTAAGTAGGGTTAGGAAATCCAAAATTTCACCGTCTAGAGAATAAAAATAAAATAAAATAAAATAACCCATCTTTAGGGACATAGGCCTCAAATACAAATGCTTAACAAGGACCCTGAGAAACCGCTGCTTCATTGAACGTCTTCTATCTGCCGTGTGTGCTGTTCCTTCTCCTCCTGTGCCCTTTAGAAATCAGTATCTTCCACAGACCTCCTTTCCACTGCACCCAACACAACCCTCTAGATAGCTTCCCATCGTTCAGCAGGCATTGACACAATATTTGCAGCCCACTGGCCATCTCAGAGCTAGAATCAAGATGTGTTTCAACCAGCACAACAACTATAGGTATAGCCAGATTCTCAAAGCTATTACCAGGGAAAACAACAGTCTTTCCTGTCTCTTCCCCTGCCATATGTTTTCACAGCCAGTCATTGGAGAGTTCTTTTCCATATTAGTTGACCGTAATCTTCATCTGAACCTCTTCCCACACATACAGAAATGACACAGGGGAACAGTACAGTAGATTAGAGCCCCTGGTCCCCTAACTCCTAAAGATGAGTAAGAGAGGCCCCCTATCATGTTGAGCCAAGTACAACAGGACATTTTCTGTCCAGCTTGGGTCCTAGAGTCGCAATGATTACTTCAATACTGGGATTCCAGTGGTCTTAATGGGTGCCTCGAGGCCTCATGCTCTCAGCAGAGCTTCAGTGTGCTTTCCTTCCCTGCAGCTTGGCTATAGGAGGAGAGAGTCTGGAGAGGGGCAGACTGAGGCTGAGATCTCCATTCTAATACAGAACAGATAGTGCCTTAGGCAAATATTAAAACCTGTCATGAGCTTTTATTCTTCAATAGCTAAAATAAACACAATCTAACTGATTATACTCCTAATCAAGATGCAATCTATAAAATACCTTATTGCTACCTGACAGAATAGTCAGTAAAGAGCTTTTGTAAAAAAAAAAAAATAAATGAATAGATTGGTTTTGTTTGGTGTCTCAGTGAGATTAAAACATTAAAAGCACTGACACATGCCAAAAGCACCTTTGGTTTTCATCTGCCTATCGTTTGTCTCTCTTCCCATCGCTATATATTCTTTCTAGAAATGCAGACTCTATTTTCTTTAATCTTTTTCTGAATGCATACTTGCAGTTCACAGGATTAGATGAGGTTGACTCCCACTACTTCATTCTGGATGGGATTAAGGTGAGAATATAACCTAAGTCTGTCCAGTCATTTTACTCTATTCATTCCAGACATTATAAGTAGTTCGAAGAATGGTATGTGACTCTCACTGGTCCAAAAAGACTCCATCCCATGACTTTAGGTGGAACAAATATAAAAAAGGAGATCATCTTCAGCCACAGTTATTTGTTTTCAAGATGGAACTCTGAAAGTGATGGCTGAATGCCCAGCCTCAGAAGTGGGCATCAGCATCATGCCCTTCAAGGCTCTGGGGGCATTACAGAAGAAGAGGCAGACATAAATGGAGAGCTCAGAAGACAAGAGGGGGTAGCACACAACACTGACTTCCAAGTACTCCTGAACTCACAGTGACTGAGATCACCTGCCAAATCTGTACAAGACTGAGCCTGTGCACATTCTATAATGGAGTTGGAGAGGGCCTAATGAGGTCCCATCCCTCCCTGAAACACAATACATAGTTTATGGTTAATCAGGAAAGTATTTTTTTTATCGGTGATGTAGCTACTTACAGTAAGGTATGCATGCTCCTATAAGCACCCCCTTACCCATGCTCGTGGAAGCAACCCTTAGTAAACTCAATGGTTCATTAGAAAGAAAACATGGAAGATGGTGAGATCACTTAGTGGCTAAGTGGGTAAAAGGGCTTGCCCTGCAAACCTGAGACTTGAGTTCAATCTCCAGAGTCCATAGGAGAGGAAGAGAGAACTAAGTCTCAAGATAGTTGTCCTCTCATCTCTACAGATATGTCTCAGCACACACACACACATACACACACACACACACATATACATATACACACACACTGTGAGTGCACACAGTAGGAAGAGGACCAGTTGGAAGAAGAAGGGGCTCACCATGAGTATAAGATGGACAGGAAAGAATAGTGAGGGGTACACAAAACCAAGATATATCGAATACACATATGAAAATGTCAAAATAAAGCCCACTGTGTATAATTAATAAATGCTAATAAAAAAGAGGAAAAATAAAAGATGGATATCTGAGAACTACTGGGTGGAAGGTGCCTCTGTGGGAGTGAAGATAGAGCCTAGGAAAACAGAGCTGTACTGGGAGTATGTGAAGCCGAGCAAGGAGACATCATCTGATACTCTGAATCTAGCTTTCACTGAAGCTCTATCTCGCCCTAGGTCACTTTAGCTACATATGACAGATAGACTGACAGCATTGATGGCCCCAAGTCTTGACCTCTCCCTTCCTTCCTTCCTTCCTTCCTTCCTTCCTTCCTTCCTTCCTTCCTTTCTTCAAGTATTTATTTATGTATTATATGTGTATGCATGTGTGTGAAGGTCAGAAGCCAACTTTCTGGGAGTTGGTTCTCTCTTTCCACCATGTCAGTCCCCAGGGAGAACTGAGAATGGCAGCAAGTCCCTCTGCCCGCTGAGCCCTCTTGCTAGCACATACATCTTCATTTATCTGTGTCCTTCACAGTGCTCTCCTAACCTCACTCCAGGTTCAGCCCTGTGACTTGCTTTGACTGAGGAAATGAAATTAACCGTGAGTGAAGCAGAGCCTCGGGGATGGCTCCTGTGAGTTTTCCTCTCTCACTCATTTCCTTTGCCAGACCTAGACAAGAAAAAAAAATGAGAAACGCGAAACATAGCCAAGTTGTCCCTGCCCGCAGCCCACCAACCCCAAGCCATGAAAGCAAGCCCTGCCCCGCTGAGTGGAGCTGCCTCTTCAGCAGCTGCCCACAGATGCGTGAGCAACCCAGTCAGTGGAGAGGGCTGCGTGGTGACCACACTCCATTAGTACTTCTTAGAATGTCATACAAGTTGTGTGGTTGGCTGTTTTACAGCCTTGTGGGAGCAGGGCATGCCTGGTGCCTTTGCCCATATATTTCCTTTTGGTTAATTTCTGTATGACTCCTTACAACCTAAGGCACCTTCACATATATGTGGAGAAATGTTTTCTGTGAATGTTTCCCATTCTGTAAGAGGACAGTCTTTAAAAGAATTAGAGCATAATTCCTTTGTGTTATATAATATATGTAAGTACACATACATTTTATGTACATAAGTATATTAAAACCATGCTATGGCTCAGATTTTTGTATGAATAATCTCTTGTAAAAAGGGAGTATCAATATACCAATAAGAATGATTTAATTCTGTTATATAAATGCTTAATGACGCAGACAAGACACTGGAACAGCATGAATATTTAATGAGACAGAAAGATGTTACATATTGGGAGTGGACAAGAGCAAAACCAATGTGCAAGAGTACAAACCAATGTGCATGTGCATGTGCATGTGCACACGTGTGCATACATGCGAACGTGGGTGTGAGTGTGTGCACATGTGAGCGTGCAAGTGCAGGTGGGATTTCCTCCTTACACTTCTGGGAATCATAGATATATGCACATGCTAACAGGGAGACTAGAGAACTGACACCAGAATTGCCATTCTAAAAGGCATTCATGTTTTTCCCTTTCTTACCTGCAAGATCTGAATGTTTTTCATAATAAAGACATACTTTTATAATAAGAATTTTCTGGGGTTTCTGCCTATAACTTCCACAGTTAAATTACTTTTATGTTTTTACTACACTTAGGACCTAGGGATTGGGGTCCTGGCTAGCCCACCTTAGAGCTGCACCTCCCTATAAAGGACTCAGTGGAACTTGTCTGCCTCTGTCTTCTCCTCCTACATCTAGAGACAAAACCATCTCACTTCTCTAGCTAGGTTTGAGGGCTCCTCACAAATAACACAAAACGTACACCAGTTCAGATTTAACCTCAGTGAGTCTGCAAGGCTGGCTGGCCAGCCAAGGCTTTGGAGCCTTACAGAAGACAATTAAAAACAAATAACTGTGTTCCTTTTGGAAACATACATACGACATAAATAACATGTAACATGAAGAAACACTCTCTCATTTAAAAATCACGCATCCAGAAACTGGGTAGATGAGTTTGCAGGTCAGAACACTTGCTGAGTTCAAACACCAGGCACCCATGTAAAACTCCAGGCATGTCTGCGAGCACCAGTAACCCCAGTGAATACAAGAGGATCTCTGCAGCTTGCTGGCCACCAACCCAGCGGCGGGTTCAGGGGGAGACATTGTCTCAAAGAAGTAAGGTAGAGAGCGACAGAGCAGGACACCTGACATCTCGTCTATGTACATACTGGTCTGTGCGCCCACACATAACTACATACATACACCACAGTCATACATGTATGAAGTAATGATTATGCCTCCTCACTTACAAAGGAAAGTATTCCAACACTGGCTCCCAGTTCCTT